GTCTCTCTCTCTCTTTCAAAAATAAATAAACATTGAAAAAAATTTTTTTAGAAATCCACTAGCACATGTTTACCTGGTGCTGGAAATTTGGGACTAGAACTTGGGAGGACAGGAGGAGAGTCGCAAGCATGGAGGAGTGTTTGAGGGCAGACCTGGGAAGGGGACGTGGAAAGTTGTAAGCTTGGAGGCCAAGGTGGAAGTGCTAGGAATTGCTCAGACTTCCAAGAGGGAAAGAGAAGAAAAGGAAGACACTGAAAGACAGACCCTTAGAGCAAAGAGTTATTAGCAAGTTATTAGTTATCAGCAAGAGTTATTAGCAAGGAAGCAATTAGAGAAGGTTTAGAAAGGAGAACTGGGTTGGTGCAGTGTCCTAGGGGCCAAGAGGAGAAGCCAAGCAGCTAAGAGTGTCTGAGAAACTGTGACTGGATTTATTTAGTAGGAGGTCTTTGGGGGCCTGAGGAGAAAAGTGCCAGCAGAGTGGTTGGAGCAAAAGCCAGATCCCAGGCACGAAGGGACTGCGTGGGGGCCTGGGCCCTGCATACTGAAAGGAACAAGAGAAAAGTGGAGAGTAACTGGCCGAGCCAAAAAAGTCATGTGAAGATGATTTTAGAAGAGGAAGATTGTACAGTGAGGAAAAAGCCCTTTAGTGAGAGCATTTGAAGGTTTTAAAAAAGAGGCGATTGATGGAATGGGATTCAGGAGTCGACACGAGAGAGCACAGAGCCTTTGCAGGGCACCATGTGAAGGCTGCCGTATGGTGGGCTAGAGCATGGGCCGGAGGTGGGACCCTAGTGCCAGCAGACCTGGGGACGAGCCTAAGGAGCCTAGCGCTTCAGCGGGTGAGCAAAGGGCAGGCACAGAACAACAAGGTGCTTGTCACCTAGTGGGGAAGTGTTGGCAAGAGTTCAGGAAGAAGAATGTAAGTGCATAGATAAGCGGTTTCCTGATATTTTGCTTATTATTAATAAAGCAGTAAATTAGCCCGTTATTGCTGAGACCTTCTAGGTATCCCGGGCTCTATTATTACAAGTGCCGTAAAATACAGAAAAAAAGAAGCGTAAGTTATGAACTCTACCTTCTCTGTCTAGTTGGTAAAAAAACAAAAACAAAAACAACCCACACTGATACAGGGATAACAGGGAATGATAAAAACCAGGTGACCTGACCTGCAGGAAACCTCATGCCTGCCTGCAATGAGATTGTATTTGAGAATGCAGCCTTTTCCAGGGATTCTGTAAGCAGCTCTATGAAAAATGTCCAAAGCAAGGGCACATTTAATAAATGGCTTCAGAGAATGGACGCTGGTAGTAGGAAGAGGAGGAGTAATTTTCTCAAATTCATTTCGTTGCTATGTGCCAGGCACCATTTATTTTCATGAATTAATTACATTCTTACAAGAACCCTACAGGGTAGAAAGTATTTTCATTAACATTTTATAGGTGAATAAACTGCAGCATAGATAAAGTAACTTGTTCAAGGCCACAGGGATAGTAGGAAGTGGCTGAGGCAAGATTGGTATCTGGGAAGTCTGGCCGTAGGCTGACTTCTTAAATATAGATGATGATCAAAGGTGACAGCAGCAACTCCAAAGACTGGGTGTCTCCGAGCAGATTCCCTCTGGCCTGAGTCAGAATAACAGACATCAGTTGTGGAATCACATCCCAAACTAAAGCAAAATGCTTTGATATGTTTGGTGGACAATACTGGGACCCATTTCCAATTCATCAACATCCCCTGTAATTTCTGAATCTCAGGCTCCAGGAGCAGGTCTGATTTTTCCCTCTGTAATTGCCGAACTGTTGGTGCAGAGAGAAGGATGGTGTCCTTGGCTTGGAAGAAGGGCAAGTAAAGGAAAATGACTTGGTCTCTCAGAGTTGACATTGGAACTAGGGAGATGGGGCTTGGAGTTCAAGAACAAGATCATCACTCTGTGAGCCTCCTCCAGAGAGGGTTGACATGAGACTCATACATATACATCTATGCAGTGTTATCTTTACATCGAAGAGGGTGTTCTTGAAATCAGTAAAATGCGAATTTATTTCAAATTATTATTGACACTGATTCATAGTACTTTTTGTCATCATGAATTTTCTCACATAGGAAGTGCCAGAAAAATATCACAAAGTGAGTTTTTTTTTTAACATGAGACGAGCTCTTTCATAGTTGAAAATATCGGAAAACATTTGTTTAGAGCAGTGATCTCTTAAACTCTTGAGAATTAGCTCCCTTATCACTACAAAAAATTTGAGTACTCTCCATGTGTGTGTATTTATGATAAGTTATGGTAGTAGTATTAATATCTTATATAATATACATTCATAAAAACAGAAAACAAAAATTTTAAAAATAGAGACATTTAGTTTTTTTCCCTACATCATTATGGCATCTTGCAAACTGTAGGGCTACATGCACCCCACTTTGGAGACCAGAATGGATTCTGGGAACAGTAAAGGAGTGACTTTTTCCTTTGGGGTTGACTTTAAGGAGCCAATTTATTATTTTATGTTATTTTTTTTGAAATAAAAAAAAATGTTTATTTATTTATTTTGAGAGACAGAGAGAATGTGAGCAGGAGAGGGGCAGAGAGAGCGGGAGAGAGAGAGAATCCCAAGCAGGCTGTACACTGTAGCTCAAAGCCTGACATGGGGCTTGAACTCATGAACTGTGAGATCACGACCTGAGCTGAAATCTAGAGCCGGACGCTTAACCGACTGAGCCATGCAGGTGCCCCTAATGAGCCATTTTAAATTGAGATCCGTGTTCAGTTTGTTTAAACCCAGTGGTTACACAGCTCAGCTTTTTCATCAGAAGGACCACACCGTGGGGCATGATAAAGTGGAGAAGAGGAACCCGATAATTGATTGGCTGCTGAACTTAGAGGAAAAGTATTCCTCTGGGGGTTTCACAGCCATAACTGGACACTTAGGTGGGGGTGGCTGGCAGGGCAGACTTGCAAAGCCTCGGAACTATTTTCTCATTAGTTTCCCATTCAGGAGCCCAGAAGCAGCATTGTGCTGATTCAGGGGTGGTTTTCAGTGGCTCAGCCAGCTTCACTTTGCTCCTTCCTACAGACAGAGGGAAGCATCTAGATTGGGTTCCTTCACTTCTTGCTGACACACTTCCAAGGGCCTGTGTGGTTGTAGAAACAGCCTATTTGATAAAAAGACTTCCTTAGTTTCCAGTTTTATTGTCTTTTCTGATGTCCTTGGCAGGTTTTTCTGTAGCTGCTCCCTTCTTCAAGACTTATAAAGACTTCCCATTACCCACCAGATCAAATCCAGCCTCCTCAACTTGGCATCCAAGATTCCATTTTTCCCATCCAATTCACATGTTGGGTGTCTTTACATTTAAATCTCCCTTTCAGTCAGGCTGGTCTCCTTACTGCCTTCCCTGGTGCTCCTACATGCCCCCACCCCACCCCACCAGCATATGCATGCACACGGGTGTGCCTGTGTGCATGCACGTGCACACACACACACACACACACACACACACACACACACACACGCTTGCCTATTCTGTCTTTATGGCCTCGGGCTGTTTACTACAAGTGGAAACCCCTCCTCATTCTTCTCTATCAGTCAAACTACCTACTCTTCAAAGTAAGATGAGTCCCACCTCTTTTATAAAGATTTTACTAAGTGCTTTTCTGAGTGTGGTCTTTAGACAGCCTGCATCAGTATCACCTAGGATGGTTGTTATGAATGTAAATCCTTTCTTCTCACCTCAGAACCTGTCAACCATAACTACTGGAAACAAGACTCAGGAATCTGCATTTTCACAGGGTGTTTATGAAGTGCAGTGCAATTTGAGGGGTGCTATTACCTGGTAAATTAGGGCACAGCCATCTCTTTGGCCACAGACTCCATTTATCTCTTGAGACCTACAGAACAGGAACCTCTGAGTGTTCTACAAAGACTTCTTGGCTTCCAGGTCCCTTTTAGGGCTCTCCCAGGGAAGCTTTGTTCCCCCTACCTTGTAGCGACTCATTAAGGAGGTCCTGCACATGGAATGTATGAGGGCCACAGGCCTCAAGACCTTTCAAGATCATCTTTGTGGCCTTTCATTCTACCTGTACTGTGAAAACAGGCTCTAAGGGCCAGAGGCAGAGCGGACTGAGGGATGGGGCTGTGAAGTGAGAATTACGGGTGCGGTGGGCCTAGCTGGCAGGGGTGAGTATGTTTACCAACCTGCAGAGAGGAGAGCTGAACGTGAACACCAGCCCTAACTGTCTTCAGTAGAGCAGAGGAGATAATGTTCTAGGATAATATGTTCTCTGCTGGCCTTTCTCTTTTCTCTGGAGCTACTCTTTTCCCATCAGGGATCCCTTTGTCTTCTTAGTGAGGGCCTCACTG